AAATAAAAGCAGAGAAGTAAGAACTCTTACCACAGAAATACAAAGGATTGTAAGAAATTAGTATGAACAACTATATGTCAAGAAATTGGACAACCTGGGAAAAATGGATACATTTCCAGAAACATACAGTCTTCCAAAACTGAATCTGAAAGAAGCAAAAAACTTGACTAGACCAATAACAGCCAGAAAAATTGAAGAATTAATCAAAAACCTCCCAGCATAGCAAAGCCACGGACCGCATGGCAAAGTTTACCAAACATTCAAAGAAAATCTAATACCTACCCTTTTCAAACTATTCCATAAAAATTCAGGAAGAGGGCAGACTTCCAAAGTCTTTCTATAAGACCAGGATTATCTTAATTCCAAAAGCAGGTAGATATAACAAAGAAAGAAAATTACAGGTCAATATTGCTGATGAACATAAATGCTAAAATTATCCACAAAATATTAGCAAACTAGATTCAGCAGTAAATTAAAAAAATCATACATCAGGATCAAGTGGGATTCATCACAGGGATGCAAAGATGGTACAATATTTGCAAATCAATAAATGTGATAGATCACATAAACAAAATGAAAGACAAAAATCACATGATGATATCAAGAGATACAGAAAAAACATTTGATGAAATCTGTACCCATTTATAATAAGAACACTCAGCAAAGTGGGAAAAGAGGGAGCATGCCCCAACATAATAAAGGCCATGTATGAAAAACCTACTGCCAAAATTATACTTAATGGGCAAGAACTAAAATCATTTCCCTTAGGATCAGTAACAAGACAAGGGTGTCTGCTTTCACAGCTTCTATTCAACATAATATTGGAAGTCCTAGCCACAGTGTTCAGACAGGAAGAAGAAATTAAAGCCATCCAAGTTGGAAAGGAGGAAGCAAAACTGTTGTTATTCACAGATGACATGGTAGTGAACATAGAAATCCCTATAGGCTCCACCAAAAAACTACCTGACAAAAGAAGTAAATTAAGCAAAGTAGGGTGATACAAAGTCAATATTCAGAAATCAATGGCATTTTTGTACACCAACAATAAAATGTCAGAAAGAAAAACTAAGGAAAAATTTCATTTACTTTAGCAACAGCAAAATTAAGTACCTAGGAATAAATCTAACCAAAGAGGTAAAAGTCTTGTTCTCAGAAAACTATAGGACACTGAAGAAAAAAATTGAGGAAACTACATGTAAATAGAAACATATACTGTGTTCCTGGGTTGGAAGAATTAACATTAAAATATCCATACTGCCCAAAGCAATTTATCAATTCAATGTAATTCCTATTAAAATACCAATGGCATATTCAGAGATGTAGAACAAATATACAAAAAAAATATATGGAACCAAAAAAGACTCCAAATAGCTCAGCAATTTTGAGAAAGAAGAATGAAATTGGAAGGATTACAATACCTGATATCAAACTATACCAAAAAGCCACTGTAATCTAAACCATTTGGTATTATCATAAGAACAGACACATAGATCAATGGAACAGAATAGAGAACCTAGAAATAAACCTGTGAGTTTATCGTCAATAAATATTTAATAAAGGGGGCACAAGCATACAATGGAGAAAAGATAGTCTCTTCAACAAATGGTTTTGGGAGTAGTGGACAGGTGCATGCAAAAAAAAAAAAATAAAACTTGACCACCAACTTACACCATACACCAGAATAAACTCAAAATGGACAAAAGAATTAAATATAGCCATAACACCATAAAAGTCCTAGCAGAAAATATAGGCAGTAAAATTTCAAACATTCCTCATATCAGTATCTTTGCTGACATAACTCCTAGGCCAAGAGAAATAGTGAAAAAACAAAACCACTGGGACTACATCAAATTAGAAAGCTTCTGCACTGCTACTAAGGAAACCATTGTCAAAATGAAATTGAACAATAAAATAATTTAAATTAAAAAAGGGAAGGAAAAAATGAAAAGGGAACTGACTGTATGGGAGAACATATTTGGCAATGATACATTGGAGAAGTGTTTAATCTCCAAAATATATAATGAAGTTACATGATTTAATACCAGGAAGACAAACATTCCAATTTAAAAAAATGGGCAAAAGATCTAAATAGACACTCCTCCAAGGAGGACATACAGATGGTCCAAAAACATATGAAAAGGCACTCAACATCACTAGCAATCAGAGAGATACAAATTATAACCACAATGAGATATCACCTCACACCTGTCAGAATGGCTATCACTAGTAAATCAACAAACAACAAGTGTTAGAGAAGATGTGGAGAAAAGGGAACCCTAGTGCACTGTTGGTGGAAATGCAGACTGGTGTAGCCACTGTAGAAGACAGTATGGAATTTCTTCAAAAAATTAAAAATGGAACTGCCTTTTGACCCTGCAATTCCACTTCTGGGAATATACTCTTACACTCCCCAAATACCAATTCAAAAGAACTTACGCACCCCTATGTGCATAGCAGCACTATTTAAAATAGCCAAGAATTGGAAAAGCCTAAGTGCCCATCAGTAGATGAGTGGATCAAAAAACTGGTACTTTTACATAACTGCATACTATTCAGCTAGAAAAAAAAAGGGAATTCCTATCATTTGGTATAGCATGAATGGAACTGGAGAGTATTATGGTAAGTGAAATAAGCCAGTTGACAAAAGACAAATACCGTATGATTTCACTTACAAGAGGAATCTAATGAACAGTATAAACTAATGAGCATAACAGAATCAGAGGCTTATTGAAAGAAGGTAAAGAGATTAGTCAAAGAACATATATGAAAAAGACCCATGGGGATGGATAGTGGTGTGGGGATTGACTATGGAAGTGGAGGGTAGATTGGGTAGAGGAGAGCAAAGGGGAAAAATTAGGAAAACTGTAATAGCATAAATGATAAAACATTAATAATAATAATACATAGAATAAAAATAAAAGATGGAAATAAAAAAATAAAGTGTTATTATAGATAGGGGTCATATATTTAACCAATTCTCAAAGAGACAAAGACCAACACTGATGTGGCAGAAAGAGCTTTGCTCTAGAATTAGATCAGTTTAGGTTTGCTACTTACCATAATTAGGTAACATGAGCCTGTTTCCTATCTGCGAACAGGGATAACGTTATTACAGAAGGATGTGGTTAAGCTGAATGACAGATGTAAATGCTACACCCTTTCAGATTATAAGAACATGCCTAGTAAATGTTAAGTGATCTGCAGTTTCCTTGAAATGGATGAAATCTGTTCTCATGTCCTTCATACTATTTCTTAGCTAACAGTCTAAATATCAAAGCATTATCTAATTAAAAATTATTCTTGTCCTTTCACTGTCCATTTGTACTTACAACATATTTTCCTTGATGAATTGTGTCAATATTAGTGATACTTATAACTGAAGCCATTACTGTTCATATGTTTAAGACATTTCATGGGCCCTGGCTGGCCTAGCTCAGTGGATTGAGCACAGGCTGCAAACCAAAGCATCGCAGGTTTGATTCCCAGTCAGGGCACATGCCTGGGTTGCAGGCCAGGTCCCCAGTGGGGGCCATGTTAGAGGCAACCACCCATTGATTCTCTCTATCTCTTTCTCCCTCCCTTCCTCTCTCTAAAAATAAATAAATAACATCTTTTAAAAAAAAGAGACATTTCATGGGAGATCAATCATTACACACAGTGATGGCTCTGCTGTCTCTGTCAGAATTGAATGAGATATAAAGTATGTCCTAATTAGAATTTACTTTCAAATATGAAGACACCAAATGGCTTAAGATATTGATGGGAAAACCTTTCTTTTATGTACAAAATGTTATTTTAATTTGCTCTGGTGGGGAAGAAAGACAGCTTATAGTCAGTCTAATTTGTATCTTATGATTGACTTAAAAGAAAGTGTCACATTTAGAAAGATAAATAAATCTGTTTTCTTTAATCAGTAATGCATAGTTACAAAAATCCTCTTCTGAAAGTGACAAAGGCAGGCACTGTCTGGCCTGCATGTCCAGACTCTGCTGTCATTGTAAAGGCTAATAATCTAAAATGCAAATAGAGTTAGCACTGCACATGTGGTGATGGAAACAATTTGTGTACCAGCTATTTCAACAACAGGCTTGCAAACACAGCACATGAGTAGAAAAGTAAAATTGATGCCAAATGTGAGTGAAAGTAGAATAAACAGAATCACAGCTGATCTTTGGGGATCAATTATATTCCTGAAGAAAGATTGGTGTGACTTATTCTTAGTTAAATGGAGAACACAGGTAACCTGTGTTATTATGTTGATACCAGGATACTACCAGAAATCATTTGTGATAATATCTGTGGTAGGAAGAATACCACAGGAGGAACTAATTTATAGGAATAAGTAATTGAATAAATTAATATTTTATTTTACTTTGGCAAAACTGTATCAAGTTGGGTTTTCTTGACTATGTTAATAATGAATAGAGATTAAAAAATAAGTTTGGGGTGTTGCTGTTGTTTGTTTTTCCAGAGTGCAAAACACACATGAAAGGGAGAACGTTATCTATGGATGTGGGATAACTGCTCTGTGGACTATACCTCTGTGGTAGACGCATTCAGTCCCGGTCTGAAAGAAGGAGACACTGGGTTCATCATTTCCACACATCCACAAAACAATCACGCTCTAATGCAAAGACATGAATAGGTACCAGGTGTGTTTTTTTTTTTCAAACTGTAAGAAGAAACCTCCCTCAGTGTTCATTCAAAACCTCAGTTTTTGTGTTATCAGGGTACAGAGTTCCTCAGCAAGCAGTACATGCTTATAGGAGTGCTTTCTTTCTACTGTGAATAGCTTTCAGCTTCTCCACAGTACCTATCTCCTGCCTATTTAATGCCTTTATTGATGACCCAGGAAACTTTCCCAGTGGTACCTGTTCATACTATTTTGATCACCTTAGCATGTTTAAATCACCTACTTACTAGGGTAGGCTGTGCATACGAGGGAGGACTACCCCTCAAAAACAGATTTTTTAAATAAAAAATTGTGTATTGATTCTTACATTTTTATACTTCAGTCACCTTCAAAGCACTCTCCATTGGATGGAATACACCTTTCAAGATATTTTTTCCACTGCGCAAAACAGTTTTCGAACTCGTCGATTTTGATGCCTTTTATTGCTTCTGCCAGTTTTTGTTTCACTTCTTCCACATCAGCAGAATGTTTCCCTTTGAGGACTTTTTTCATCCTGGGAAATAACAACAAAAATATCGCTTGGGGCAAGATTATGTGAATAGGGAGGGTGGGACACAGGGGTCATGCCATTTTTTGGTCAAAAACTGCTGAACATTCATCTCAGTGTGGGCAGGTGTGCTTGTAAATTACCCATCATGAAATGAGCAAATGCTTTGAAAGAGTCTTCAAAAAAATTTCACTGAAGCTGAACGCAGCCTCTCACAACACCAGCTGGTACACTGATACAGATGGGTTCCTAGAACACTCAACTAGCAAGGGAAGCCTGTACTACACAGGGCCTGCCCTCCAAAAGATAAGTCCATTTTTATGGGTCCCCCCTTGTATGTGAGGTTTAAATAAAAGAATGTCTGTAAAGTACTTCTGACTGAGCTCACAGCATAATATGAATAGTCAGTAGCTACTGACTAGCATTATTATTATATCATTTATATTTAAACCAATCTGTACTAATTTGGGTGTTGCTTCATGATTCTCCGTTTCTACCACAATACCTCTGTTTTTGGTCTTCAACTGGAGTAAAAGAAATAAATGAAGATATACTGATTATCCTTAGTGAGAAGCTATACAGGGTATAGAATTATTGGAGCATAAGACTAAAACTGACTTAGATTTGAATTCCATCCTTGTCACTAACTTGGACTTCCCTTTACCTCAGTTCTCTTACTGCAACTTGGATATAACAGATGTTTTCAGGAAATTGTTTAAGGATAAAAAATAATTAAAATAGTGTTTGGATGCAGAAGAGGCATTTGTTGCCTCATTTAATGTAAATTGTTAGATAATGTGATTGAATTTTGAGGATCTGATGACAGCTAAAATTAAATAAACAAATAAATAAATTGTTCACAGCATTTTGCATGTAATTTTAGGATTTTGCTATTATAAAAATCAAAGCTTTCAGTTTGCACAAACAACTCATAAAATTGTTACCGAGAAAAGAATTATTGTTCTTGAAACACAGACTACCATCCTGGAGAGAACAAGCAACATTTAATGTAGTCAAAATTTTGGTCAAAACTGTAATGATGTCTCCATCCGGTCTGGAACTGAAATTCCAGATACAACTTTCCCCATCACAGGCTTGAAAACTTGGCAAATATTGAAGTGTAATCTGTAGTTGAAGAGCTTCACTTCCTTGTCTCTAAAATGGGTATGTTAATACCATCTGATAAGTGCATTGTGAAGATTGAGTAAGAAAGCAAAAATAAACCCTTCTGATACCTGACAGCCAAGAAATACATCTTTCTGCTCTTTTATTTCTTTTTCCTTCCTTCTTTACTCATCTCCTCTCCTGCCTCGAGTTTGCATTGCTTTATGTCCCATGGTACTGGAGTCATTGCCATGCTTCCACTCAGATAATCTCATATAACTTCTAGTATAAGAAACAAAGAAAGCCTAAGAAATTACTAAGGTAAGCCCTGGCTGGCGTAGCTCAGTGGATTGAGCGCGGGCTGTGAACCAAAGTGTCGCAGGTTCGATTCCCAGTCAGGGCACATGCGTGGGTTGCAGGCCACAGCCTCCAGCAACCGCACATTGATGTTTCCCTCTCTCTTTCTCCCACCCTTCCCTCTCTAAAGAAAATAAATAAATAAAATCTTTTAAAAAATTACTGAGGTAAACAGTGCATTATTACCTCATTTTGACAACTTGATTTGTCCAGAAATATAACTATTGATTCTTCTTTACTAGTTGCTTCTTACCCATGGGCACATATTACGTGTGTATCAACTACGTTAAATCCCTAAAAATGTATCTCTGTTGTCATTTTGCATTCCCTTTATATCCTATAGCTTTCCTAAAAGTAAACTCTTATTTCTATCCTTTTTAATACCTTCAAAACTTATTTTTTTTTAGTTTTACCTGTTATTATATTTTTATTACCATTTAGTCCCCTTATACTTCCCCCTCACTGCAATCACCACACTGTTGTCCACACCCATGAACCATTTTTCTTTTTTACTTAATCCCTCCACCCCTACCTCCCTCTCTTTAGCTATCAGACTGCTCTCTATCAATCTGTCTCTATTTTGCCTATTAGTTCAGTTTGTTCATTAGATTCCACATATAAATGAAATCATATGGTATTTGTCTTTCCCTGACTGGCTTATTTCACTTAGCATAACGTCCTTCAGGTTCATCCATACTGTTGCAAAGGGTAAATTTTTCTTCTTTGTTTATGGCTAAGTAGTATACCATTGTATAAAAGTCCCATAGTTGTTTTATTCATTCATCTGCTGATGGACACTTGGGCTGTTCCATAGCTTGGTGATTTAATAGTCATACTAATTGGAATTACATTCATTCTTCTTTGCTTTTTCTCTGATTATATCAAGTATCATCTGACTAGCTAATGAAACAGATTTTCTGAGAATGAGGAAGGTAAAGGGGGAAAAAGGATGAGTAAGATAAGACAATTAGTGAAAGCTTTAGCGGTAATAAAACTAGTAACATTAGAGTTCATTAATTAGTGATCAGGAAAATTTTGCCATGCATTGTCATTAATTGGCCAACTAGAGTGATTAGGCTCACACATAATAAAACAGCAAAGAGAGAAAAACTCTGCTGTTCCTGCTGTTCCTGTCGGTTTCTGCTTGTTGTCACAACAATTTGTGAATTGTTGTGAATAAATTTTCTTCATACGTTTAGTGTTACAGCATCGTAAATTCCACAATAAGAATGATTTAAGATAAGTGTAAAATCCACGCAAAGTACAGGAGTGTTCTAAACTCTGAAAAATTAAAGCAAATTGCTATGTCCTGGCACCCCTCTTTTTGTGGAATGTCAGAGCCAGCTTTCTTTTGATTCAGAGCTACTGTGCTCTAGAGAAAGCCTAAGAACCATCAGGCAAAGCACGAAGCTGGCTTGATGAAATTAATGCTTTTTCTTCACTTCTTAGCAAAGAACAGAACATCTGATAAAAAAATAAAATCCCACTTTTGTTAAAAAATAGTAAATTATGGAATGCTATAAAATTGATTATTGATTTTGACTACTAAATACTGACCCATGTAAATGAATTGGAGTCTAGTTTTGCTATCTGATTCTAACGTGAAATGCATTCATATTCAGGAATCATTTGAAAACAAATTTTTTTGGTAATTGAATAATGGTAATGAATAATAAGATCAATTTGTTTTTATTTATATAATTGTTAAATGTAAAATAATAAAATGTAGACTTTTTACTTTTTCATTTTAACTTTGCATGTGAGACAAAGAAAACAGTGCTTTCTGTCATATCTTAGTGTTTGCTCAATTACTACCATCCAAATTCTTAACTGACAGTATTTCCTGTTTGTGTCTTTTCAGAACAAACCCCTTGCCTGTCAGTGCCACACACAAAAAATCAGTAGCCATAGGAGCCCTTTCAAGAAGTCACTGTTATTGATCCATCCCTCAAATATGACCCAATTTAGCAATAAAATGATGTTGAAATTAATAGTTTCTTCTTAGTGTGTTAATAACTTTGGTGGGTTTACATATCTTTTTGAGATGACAGAACTGACTTCTATACAAACACACACAAACACATATACACATCATCTTAATATCCACTTTCCATCTGTAGTCCACGCTAAATTTTCCCAGCCATTCACCAACACCAAATCCACCTTATCCAACTCATTTTCTGTTTGCTGGTTTGGGTTCAAGAAAGTGGGAGCAATTTTCATGTCTGCTTTAGCGAACTATATCCAATAAGGAATGATTTTTATTTCTGATTTCTGGTATCGTGAGCCTTTCATAAAATTAATTCTCTCCAACTATATGGCTTGCAGGACTCATCTTACGATTGGAGATTCAGAACAGTTCTGATGTCTGAAAATGTCTTCCCATCTTACTCACTGAAGCTTGACAGTCACCTCTAATCCCTTTATTTCTAAACCTTTAGCTTACTCCAATCTTACTTTCCACTGAAATCTAAATACTCTCAGACTTTAATGTTTTACTCATTTTTCCTCAGTCTGAATGATCCAAAAGCAAGTTTTGATAAAGCATAGGAAGGAAGAGAACTTTGGTGCATAAGGCTACTGTGGAGGGTATTACCCTCCAAAATATGATATTTTAGTATTTTGCTGTGCATAATGTGCTCTTTTTGCCCAAATTTTTGAGGGAAAAATAAGGATATGCATTATACATGGGTAGTACCTGAAGTACCTTGTATCTGTTTTTGCATTTTGTAATTATTTGTTACATAACATTTCTTGTACCATAATATGTTAAAAAATAAAGGCTAAAATTCTTTTATAATACACAAAATAAATATGTAAATATAAATAAAATTGAATTAAAAATTAAAATGAAAGATTTTTTCTGAAAGTTTGTGCCAAAGACATGCATAAGCATTATACACAGCAAAATATGGTAAGTAACACAGAGAACAGGAGAGTAAATCAACTCACAGAGAAAAGCAGCTAAAAAAATAGAGCTTGATGAAACAGGCACATCACAGTTTTGCCCAAGGTCTATTCTAATTAATTAGAAAGGAAAATTCTGAAGATGACTGCTATCCCTGTGTACAAGTTTGCCTGCAAAGCATAACTTATAAATGCTCTGTGCCTTCTGCATATTACAGAATGTATACTAGGATTCAAACAGGGCAAGGACTACACAGATTCCCACATGGCCTCATCCATGCACCATTTTAAAGTCTGCCCACCTTGAGCATCAGAAACTGAATTGTAGAAATCTGATTCCTATGATTTTAAACTTCTTGTTTCACAAATTTGAAACAATATTTTAAAACTAGGCTCTTCAAAAAGACCACAAAGAAGACTATATTATTATTATCATTATTATTATTTTCAATAAATATTTGTTCATTTTATTGAATATTTCACAAAGACATATATATCTGGAATGGAAGAGCCTGCAGAGGTCTTTTACCTGGTGTGTGAATCACCTGAACTCTACTATGGCTCTGTGCTTAACCCATCATCCTTTGAACACTTATTTCATTAAAAAGATCATTACTTTACACATGACTCTGTATAGG